ATGGTGGGAGTGTTTGCATCACAGAGATCTGCCCAAACTACAGATCAGTTATTGTTATCCCAGAGAGTCAGTTTAGCATCCAGCGTGGGTTACAAGTAATAATATGCAGTGACGTCACTACTACTCACCTTCACATCTGCGTCTGACCGTGACGTAGTGCCCACAGCAGCAAGGGCCCGGGAGAGCCGAGTGGCTGCTACCCCTGACGTGGCAGTGATGACCACGGGACTGTGTGGTGTGGGGGGGGGGGGGGGGGGCGGCATCTGAGTTCCTGGAGCTTTTTCTTTTTTTTTTTTTTTGGCCACATGGCTTGTGGGATCTTAGTTCTCCGGCCAGGGATTGAACCTGGGCCCTTGGCAGTGAGAGGGAAGAGTCCTAACCACCGTGGCCAGGGAATTTCCTCCTGACACTGTTATGGAAGGTAAATGACAAGCTCTTTAACCTCTCAGCTTAAGTCACGGTTGGAAAGCCAGAGAGATCCTACAGAGCCCTAAAATAATCCTTTATTTCTTGCAGCTATAGGTTTTCGACCTTGCTGAAAATCATAGCCCAGGTTTAATTGGTCAGGTTGCAGAATTACAACATAAATGGAATCCATAGATTTTCCAGAATCTCAGGCAGTACATTTAGATGTTTACTTTGTCTGGCTGAGAGATGACCAGAAGCACAGATGTACACTGACCCCTGGGGAGTGGGTGGCCAGGAACAGATACAGCAGAACCGGATTTCGTGAGAAGGAGGTGTGGGGAGGGGTGATGTGGATGCCTCCCAGGATGAGCTCAGTGTGAAGGTATTTCCAGTGTCCCCTGTGATGCCCACCCAAGGGCATCAGTGACTCAGTAATAATCCACTGGACAGGGTGACAAATTCTGGGCCAGCCCCGCCATTGCTTGTCCACTGAGTTTACTTAAAAGTGTTCATGGTAGCAGGTGTGGAAGCTCTGCATGGGCCCAAGAACATGGACTTCCCCTCATCAAGCTGACCTTCCCACTGCCACTGCCTGAAGTGACAACAGTGGAGACCAACAGTAAAACCCCAAAACGGCACCATTCCCTGCGTGGAGGGGGTCCTGGGACCAATATTAGAGACCTGCCAATGTGATCCTTAGTTGTATAAAGGCACAAAATAGAACTTAGAGGCTTGAAAAAAAATAACTGAAATGAAAAACTCCTGGAAGAGGTTTATCGGCAGTCTAAGGGAAAATTACTGACTGCAAGAGAGATCTGAAGAAATATCCACAATACGGGACACAGAGATGAGAGATGAAGCTATGACAGAGAGGCAAAGACATACGGAGAACGGTGATTTTATGTCGCCTTTGGGAAACAACCTGCAGTTTGAAGAATACTGGTTGAATAAACTACTAGTCAGACTTCTGGGAGAAAAGAGTGAGAGGATGGACTAAAGTAACATTTAAAAGAGACATTGTCACACATGCTCCAACATGGGTGAATCTTGAAGACATTATGCTGAGTGAAATAAGCCAGACACAAAAGGACAAATACTGTACAATTCCACTTACTTAGAGTAGTCACATTCATAGAGACTGAAAGTAGAATGGTGATTACCAGGGGCTGTGGGGAGGGGGAATAGGGACTTATTGTGTTTGGGGTATGGAGTTCTAGTTGCAAGATGAAAAGAGTTCTGGAGATGGATGGTGGTCATGGTTGCACAATAATGCGAATGTATTCAATATCATTGAACTGTACAGTTAAAATGACTAAGATAGTAAACTATATGCTATGTGTATTTACAACAATTTAAAAAATTAAAAAAATGTTGTTTGAGAATTTTCCAGAACCTTGAAAGATACAAGTCAGCAAATTCAGAAACCCTCGGGAATTCCAGCAGGATAAATGCTATAGACTGAACATTTGTATCCTCCCCAAAATTCATATGCTGAAACCCAATTCCTGAATGATGGTATTAAGGACCTGTGGTCTTTGGGGTGATAAGGTCATGAGCGGGGAGACCTCATGAATAGGATTAGTGCCCTTATAAAAGAGACCTCAGAGAGCAAGAAAATAGCTGACTATGAACCGAAAGTGGGCTCTTGCCTGGCACAGAATTTGCTGGTGCTTTGATCTTGAATTTCCCAGTCTCCAGAACTGTGAGAAATAAATGTTATTTAAGCCATCCAGTCTATATGGTATTTTGTTAAAGCAGCCTGAATGGGCTAAGACAATAAATTAAAAGATACATCGTGATAAAACTGCAGAACCCCAGAACAACAGGAAAAAACTTTTTTTTATATTTAAAAAATTTTATTTATTTAATTAATTTATTTATTGGCTGCGTTGGGTCTTCGTTGCTGCATGCGCGCTTTCTCTAGTTGTGGCGAGTGAGGGCTACTCTTAGTTGCGGTACACGGGCTTCTCATTGTCATGGCTTCTCTTGTTGCGGAGCATGGGCTCTCTAGGTGCTCAGGCTTCAGTAGTTGTGGCTCATGGGCTCTAGAGCGCAGGCTCAGTAGTTGTGGCGCATGGGCTTAGTTGCTCCGCGGCACGTGGAACCTTCCCAGACCGGGGCTTGAACCCGTGTCCCCTGCATTGGCAGGTGGATTCTTAACCACTGAGCCACCAGGGAAGCCCAAAACGGATTATTTTTGAAGGAATAATGAGGAGATTGTCATCTGAAACCTCAGCAGTAACAACGAAAGCTGGAAGTCAGTGGCGGCATCCTCACAGCCCTGAGAGAGAACAATTATCCCTCTAGTAAACCAGCCAAAATATCTTGCAAGAACAAGGGAAAAATAAAGTAATTTTCAGATGAACAAAAACCGATAGCATTTGCTCCAACCAACTCACTGAAATAGAGTTTAGAGGCTCTACTTCAGGCACGAGGAAAGTGATCCTGGTTGTAAGTTCTGAGATGCACGAAGAAAAGATGAGTAAAGAAACTGGTAACTGTGTGGTTGAGTCTAAACCAACATTGACTATATAAACAATTTAGTAATGACTCACTGGTGAAAAAGGAAAAGATTAAAATATACTATAATTAAGGCATATAATTTAGGGGATGGGTGATTGAAGTATGCCTAAGTGCTTTTATTTTCAGGGAGCCAAGTAAAGAGTAATCACTAAAACAACATAAATAGAGTATATAAGAGGAAATCCATATATGCCATAAATATAATAAGTATAAATCGACCAAATGCTGTAGTTAAAAGACAAAGATTTTCTTTAAAAAAACCTTTTTATTATGAAGAACTCCAAGCATACTGAAAAGTGGGAAAAATAGTACAAAGAATCCCCATATGCCTGCCGTGTAGGGTCCGTGTTAGCTATTTGCTGTGTTCCATCTATATGTGAAAAGGAGAAGATCAATACATATTTTATGTAGTAAACATTACATAACGAAGTAAAATTTAAATGTCAATAATGAGGTGAAGTGTTCACTTTTGAGGCCAAGCAGACATGGTGTCTCAGTAACTTTTTTAAAAATTAATTATTTATTATTTTTGGCTCTGTCAGGTCTTTGTTGCTTGCGGCGAGCAGGGGCTACTCTTCATTGCAGTGCGTGGGCTTCTCATTGCAGTGGCTTCTCTTGTTGCAGAGCATGGGCTCTAGGCACGCAGGGTCAGTAGTTGTGGCTCGTGGGCTTCAGTGGTTGTGGCTCGTGGGCTCTAGACCACTGGCTCGGTAGCTGTGGCTCACCGGCTTAGTTGCTCTGTGGCATGTGGGATCTTCCCGGCCCAGGGCTCCAACCCGTGTCCCCTGCTTTGGTAGGCGAATTCTTTTTTTTTTTTTTTTTTTCCTCTCTTTTTTGGAGGTGGGGCGGGGGGGATGAGGTCAGAGAAACTGGCAGAAACCAGGTCTCACAGAGCCTCAAGGCCATGGGAGGCTTTGGAATTTATTCTAAGTGAGATGAGTGACATTGGGGGTTTAAGCAGGGGCATGACACCATTGGACTTAGAGTTGTTGTTTTTTTTTTAAAGGGAATTCCTTTATTTTATTTATTTATTTATGTATGTATTTATGGCTGTGTTGGGTCTTCGTTTCTGTACGAGGGCTTTCTCTAGTTGTGGCAAGCGGGGGCCACTCTTCATCGCGGTGCGCGGGCCTCTCACTATCGCAGCCTCTCTTGTTGCGGAGCACAGGCTCCAGACACGCAGGCGCAGTAGTTGCTCACGGGTCTAGTTGTTCTGCGGCATGTGGGATCTTCCTAGACCAGGGCTCGAACCCGTGTCCCCTGCATTGGCAGGCAGATTCTCAACCACTGCGCCACCAGGGAAGCCCGGTAGGCGAATTCTTAACCACCGTACCACCAGGGAAGTCCAGGGGTCTCAGTAATTTTTAATCACGTACTTTTTTTGTGCAGTTATTTATTCAAAGGCTGCCTCTCCTATGGGCTCTACTGAGAGGGTAGGAACCAGGTCAGTATTTCTGATCATTGTATTTCTAAATATTTGTTGCACTTAGTAGCACAGGATTCAGCACAGTGCTTGTTTACACAAACATTTAATGTAGAGTAGCTTTTATTTATTATAATTGATGCTGTTGTTATCCAAAGCGTTCAGCAGAGTGGCACAAAATAAGCAAGCAATAATTGGTAGCTTACTAAATTTATATTTATTGTTTACCATACGTCATCGTGCCTAGCACACATCATTCACCCATAAACATCATGTTTATAATAAGAATAAATAGTACTTTATTATTCAAAATCTCTAAGTGCCTGGCACCACATTAGCAGGGGAAAGTGGCAGTTCATTCTTATTAATTATTATTATTGAGTAAAGCACTTAACACAAAGCCTGGACCCCACGGGCCCTGAAAAAATAATCTTCAGGGGGACGGTCCTCAATTCTCGGCGTCCCCCACCCGCCCCTCCCCCGGACCTGCGCAACGCCCCACCCACTGCCGTCCGGCAGCCCCGCCCCCGCGGCAAGCGCCGCGCCTGCGCACTGCCCGATAGGGGGGCTCGGCGCGCTCAGCTCTCCACCGCCCGAGCGCGCGCCGGGCCGTGGCGGCCGGCCTGCTGCGTGCGTGCGTGCGTCTCTGCGTGCGTGCGTGCGTGCGTGCCGTGCGCTCGCTGGGCACCGCGGCTTTGCCCTCGCCCTCCGCCCCTGCGCCTGCACCGCGTAGGCCGCCCCCCGGCGCGCACCCCTTAGGCGACCCCCGCCCGCGCCCCGGCTGGCCCCCCCATTCCAAATTTAAAGGGGGCGCAGCATTCACGCCTCCCGGCCCAGGTGACCTCTCAGGGGTCTCCCCGCCGAAGGTGTTCCGCCGCCGAGGAACATGGCGAAGGTGGAGCAGGTCCTGAGCCTCGAGCCGCAACACGAGCTCAAATTCCGAGGTAAGCCCGGAGGCCCGCCGCCCCCAGCCCCCGCTCCGGCCCGCGCTCCGGAGGGCCCGGCGGCGCGGTGGTGACGTCGGCTCCCCGGCCGCGGCACCCGCCCGCCCGCCCGCGCTTCCCGGGCCGCGAGGGCCAGGCGTCCGGCGCGGGAGTCCAGGGCCTGCTCCTCCGCAGCCTCCCGCGCCTCGTCCTCAAGACAGTCGCCTCGTTGCCGCTGTGGCCGTTCCTGTCCCGAATGTGGCCTCCTCACTGAGTGTGGGCCCCGGCGGCCGCCTGTGCCGAGAAGGCTCAAGTCCTGGGTCAGAGGTCGCCTCTCGCTGGCCGGCCACCCCGCCGTGGACACCTGCGGCCGTCCCCTGTCGCGAACTGCTCGTGGCAGCTCGGCACTTACCACTCCCTGAAGGGACCACTTTACGCACTTGTGTACCATGTCTGTATGTTAGGAGGGAAGCTCCATGAGGACAGGACTTTGTCACGTCTCTGCTTTATGCCCCGCATGCCTTAGGAGCCTAATAAGAACCTGTTGAGCAAATGAACGAAAGGGACGTCCGCAGAAGTTCCCACGGGGTGCGTGGCCCAGCTTTCCTTCTCCTGCCTTTCTCGTGCCCGTTGCTCATGTCTCTGCAGCCGTGCGGGGCTGTCAGGGTGGCGAGATCTTTTTTGTCCCCGGAGGCGCCTGGGACTGGAGCCCGAGGAAGCCCAGGGGGCCACATGTGTTTGTGGCGAACCAGAGCCCCTTGAAATGTGTACCTTTATTTTTAACCTTTTCCCCCTACCTTCTCCAGCAAAATATTAGAGCCGGGGGATTTCTTCTGACTTGGTCATTCCTTCTTTCCAAAGGGACTGAGTAACTGTGTAGCAGACGTTGCTTGGCCCTTGAGAGATAAGAATGGACCACACAGACAGGACCCCTGCTCTCATGAAGCTTACGTTGTAGGGAGGGGCGACAGGCCAGCACATGAGAGTGTTTCAGGTAGTGGTAAGTGCTGTGAAGGAAATAAGACAGGCTGGCATGATGAGACTGTGCTTGCGTTGGACGGCCAGGTCACCGCTGTGTCGGCAGCACTTGTCTAGGGTAGCTGCTCGATAGATGTTTGTGGCATTGGAATGCCTGCTGGCCACAAGGCACCCCACTTTAAATGTACCGGCAGGAGGTAGTGTCCGGTAACTGACCCAAAGTTACTCAGTTGGCAAATGGCACATTTGAACCCAGATTTCAGAGTTCGCACTTTAACGGTTATGCTATCCGACCCCTGGGAAATACTCCAGTGCTGTGGCTGTCACTTAGCCTCCCAGGTTAACAATCTCCAGATTGTCACATTTGGAAGTGACTCCAAATGTATAAACAACCGAAGGTTTTCCAGTTAAAACAAACACCCCAGAAACCTAACGTGGATTATAATTCCACAACCGTGCTATAGCTTATGTGATGTCCTCATCGCCCGCCTGAGAAAGCAATCCAGGTAACTCAATTGAACCTGGAGGGTGATGGTTTCCACTTGAGTTGTCTGAAGTTCTCTGCCCTGGAAGCCCGGCTTAGCTACTTCTGGGAATTGGCACGTTCATTCATTTAGTCCACAGACATTTCAGTGCCTGCTCCATGTGTCAGGTACCAGGAGAAGATGAGTCACATCACATGTAGGCCCCTGCTGTCCCTCAACCCCCCGCCCCAGAACTTCGGTGTAGGGAAGAGAGCAGATGACAGAATCAGCCAGAGCGGTGCAGTGATACAAGGTAGTCCAGAGTACTCTGAGAGCACTGAGGAGGTCAGCTCCGGAAGGAGGTGTCATTTGAGCGGAGTTTAAAGGTCGAATGGAAGCAGGTGAAAGGAAGAAATGGTTGGGGAGCCTGTCAGGTGGAGGAAATTGCATGTACAGAGGCACGAAGACTGAGATGATTGGGCTCCTTTGGGATGCCAGTAGTATTTCGGAATGACAGTGACAGAGCATCTGTTGGGGTCACGAGGCAAAGGAGGAGATGAGGCTGTCTAGTAGACAGGAGCCAGTTCGTCTAAGGCCTCCGTGCACAGGCACAGCCAGTGTCCAAGTTCATATTGTGTTGTGTCTCCTCGGCTAGTTCTTCCTTGATTGATCCCCTGCAACCTTAACCCCACCCCTAGTACATACACTCTCCTCTAAGGTGGTGTCATAGAAAGAGGCACTAATTGGAGAAAATTAAAGCTTTTGTCCCAGTTCTTTTACTTAGTGATGTTTGACCTTGGGCTGGCCACTTTGCTCCCCAAAGCCTGGGATTACTCTTTACTCCATGGGAATGGCGCTCATATCTCCCTTGCCTCGTGTAGAAAGTTTTGTTGGTATTATGGCTGTCCAGCTGCTTTGTAAATGTGCGATATTATGCAGAGATTGGTTGTATTTGCGCCACCGGTTTCACCATTTCAACTTCTTTACCTGAGAGGTATGGCAAAGAAGAGTGATCTGTCTCTGGCCCAGGGTTGACCAAAGGAATGATGGCCAAAGTCACTGGATATTTTTGCTAGGGAAGTGATCCAGAAAAGTTACGGTGTCAGATTGTTGAAGGCTGTTGGCTTGTGGCTTCAGAAGAGGTATCTGCAGGCATATGTAAACCCCCTTATGATTTGTTTGTTGGTTAGTTTTAAACTGAGGACTGAGATTGTGAAATCAGAATAGAGGCTCAGTACCCTGTTTTGCTGTATAGACAGCATTCGTTTCAGGATGCGAACTGGCACATTTCACTGGTGTCTTCCAGATGGCTTGGGGTGATGCTGCTGACTTCATACGGTTCACTCAGATGAATCAAACTCGTAGCTAACTTTGCTTAAGAAGATAATAATTAAAATGCTTGTCATCCAGAGGAAAAAAATTAGTCATCTTTTAAGTGCAGCCTAAAATGATATGGGGTTGTATATGTTGGATATATTTTCGTCTTGGGCATTTTGTGTGATTCTTTTGAAGTTAAGCATGTTGCAGAAGAAAAGAGGACACAGACTTACAGGACCTCGTTCAGTCTTACTTTTCTTTTTTTTTGGTACGCGGGCCTCTCACTGTTGTGGCCTCTCCCGCTGCGGAGCACAGGCTCCGGACGCGCAGGCTCAGCGGCCATGGCTCACGGGCCCAGCCGCTCCGCGGCATGTGGGATCCTCCCGGACCGGGGCACGAACCCGCGTCTCCTGCATCGGCAGGCGGACTCTCAACCCCTGCGCCACCAGGGAAGCCCTCGTTCAGTCTTACAGAAAGTGCCACGCTGCGCTGTGTAAGTGTCAAAAGGAGAAGGATTCCTGGCCTCCTGAAGGAAGCATGACGCTGTGACATTTGCCTTGGTGACACAGTAGGATCTGTTGGGATTGGGGACACCTTTCTGAACGAGTTAAGCACTTCTAAAACCTGTGAGATGTGTGCTTTGCGTCATTGCTCTTTCTGTTGCTCTTACCTCTTCCGAGGCCAGATCATTTTCTTTTTCACTCTGAGGTCCCACTTGTTGCCCAGCTCAATGAGAGCTTTTTCAGTGAGTCACTTTCAGGGCATTTTGTATCTCTTGTTTTTCTCCTCCCCTCCCCCTTCCATTGATTCCATCCATGGTGAGTAGTATGTCTTGTATTTTCTTGGTCATTGCCCAGGACTCTTAATCCTTCTTCACATTCCAGCATTCTCCCCCATCTCGTGATACTGTCACCTGAGAATGGTCAGTTAACCGTCCTCATGGGCTGATTAGTTAAGATTTAAACCTGCAGTGGACCCATTACTTTTGCTTTATTGTGTGACTAAACCAGTGGCCTTCTAGAAGTCTCAGGTAGTCCTGCTGTTGGTCAGTGTGGGTCACAGGTGGGGTAGCACCCCTGGATTGGTGTGGTTGATTACCACTTTGGGGTGGAAATAGGAACTTGGGTAGATAGGTTAGGGACAGTCTCTTTTGTATAAGGAAAGCGTGCTTAAAATCATTAGTTCACCCTCTTAAGTTAACGTGTAGTTTAGTAGTTAGGAAGCTAAAAAATATAACACCTTGTAGCTATAGTCTGTTCAATGCAGTAATTATCTTTCAGATGCTGATTCCAGCATTAATTCTCTCGTGTTAGCACAGCACTGATTTCCTTAACGTTTCATGATCACACAGAGCAGACTGTGTTTTACAGCACAGCAAAGTGTCAGCAGTGTGCTTAAGGTTCGTTATGGTAGTGGTTTAAATCCATCCTGAGTAGATCGTCTTCATTTATTTAATTATTAACCAGCTTGCTTATAAGAAGCAAGTGGCATTAAACTTACCAACCTTTAGTCAAACTTAAATCTTCATAGATTGTGTTATTTGTGAAGTAGAAGTTAACTTACTTTTACCCACTTATTTACTTCTCTTCTTCACAGTTAACTCCTTAAGGAAGAAATGGATAGTTCTCGGCTATGTGCTTACATGGTGATAGTTCCTTGTGTGTGGTTGTAACATGAACACAGTTTTCTTCATAATAAACCTGGTAGCTTTGCATCCAAGTGTGGATTTATTAAAATAATTAGTCTGAATTGATGCTTATTAAAGAGGTGAACTCTTAAACATTATTAACACTGTCTTTTATTTATTAAAATTATATAGCATCTTTCCTTCCAGTGCTGAAGGCAAAATACTGAGAACTTTGACCCTGTAGTATTACCACTAAGTTGCTGAAAATGAGGGGAGGAATCAAGGGAGTAAACTACATTGGTTATACTCAAATACTACCCTTAGGCTTGATTTTTAGAACCTGAAACTTGAAGTTTTACATAAGGAATTATCTCCAAGATTGCTTCATGTATCTCCCACTTGTATTTGAAAAATTTGCCGTCTGAAGGATGACCGTGGTTTGGAACAAATGAGCATAGCTTTCAGCAAGATGACAAGAAAGACCAACACAAAGAGTGCTGAGTTCCATTAGTCAAGACAAGGTTGCCATTGAGTGTCTTTAATAAAATAAAATAAAAGCCTTCTGAGCAGTTATTTTGCACTGGGGATTGTGTTCAAAACAAAGTTGCATTATGGCTTCCAGGCTTGCTTCCTCC